CCTCGGGGAAGCTTTTCCGAGGAGGTCAGGAGGCTCTGCTCGGGAGGAGGAGGAGGAGAAGGAGGAGGAGGAGGAGGACGAGGAGGAGGAGGAGGAGGAGGAGGAGGAGGAGGATGAGGACGTGGAGGAGGAGGAGGAGGAGGAGGAGGAGGAGGAGGAGGAGGAGGAGGAGGAGGACGTCTTGGGCCGTCTTAGTCTATTCTCGGGCCGTCAGCTCCTGGGAGCTCTCTGCCCGAGGCGATCTGAAGTCGGAAGCAAAGCCAAATAGCATCCGATGACGAAACTGGTGTTGGCCTCTTCGAGTCTCCCTGGGTGTCTCTTTGGAGCCTTCTGGAGCCTCTTGGGGCATCTTGGAGCATTTAGCGGGTCTTTGATGTTTTCAAGGCTGGTCTGGGAGCCGTCCGAACAGGTTCGTCTCGGTGCTCTCTTGAAGGGGGGCCGGTCTTGCCACATCTCAGGTGGCGCGACCTCTCTGGCGTGGTCGTGCTGGGGAGGCCTGGAAAGTTACAGAAATCTTGCCAGTCAACGAACAGGCGTTATGATTCTCCATCATCGTGCAAGCACGGTGGCAGATGCGCCCGCCAGTTGAGGTGTGACCGCGTTCGCACCAACCCAGAAACGGACCATGCGTTGTCCTGCAGCCTGGCTCAAGCTCTCGGGCATTGCCAGCCGGCCTCCACCAACGAAGTGCCCCCCCCCGCCGCCACAATGAGCGGCTTCTCGTGGTTGGCCGTCGCCGCCGCCGTGCAGTGGTACCTCCTGCAGGGTGTCCATGCCGGCGTGCTCCGCCAGCAGCTCCATTTCGACGAGGCCGCGGCGAAGAACCGACCAGTCTCCAAGGTAATCACCCTGCTGAAGGACACAACGGAGCGGAAACTCCAGTGCACACTGCAGTTCTGGGTTGGCGTCCCCCATCCCTCGCCGCTGCCATTTTAGACTGATTTTGGCCCGCGAGCTCGCTGCCATTCTGCTGGCTATTCCCCGCTTTTGTTTTTGTTGCATGAGCTTACAAGCTCCGGCGCCTGGGAGCGCCTGTGCGCGCGTGCGAGTATGTGCGAGTGTCTGGGGGTGCGATTGGGAGCGCTTGCGAGCGCTGGGGAACGCCCGGGGGCACTTGGGGGCGCCTGCAAGCGCTTGGCGCCTGCGACCGCTTGGGATTGCCTGGGAGCGCCCGTTGGTGTTTGAGACTGCTGTCCTTCGACTGACTTTGGAAGCCTCGGCAGCCATAACAAATCGCGAGTGATTCGAGCAATATTCGCCGCCAGTTTTCTCTTGGGGGTCTGAACTGATTGGCTTGGGAATTTGTTTGTGTTTACACGCTTCCCCCGCCGCCCTTTTTTACAATTGGGAATATTTGCAATGAGCTTCTGGGATGACAAGGACATGCTGAAGCAGCTGGAGAAGGAGGCCGAGGAGGACGAAGAGATCTACGATAAAATGGCTTGCTGGTGCGAAACAAACGACAAGGAGAAGACCAAAGCCATCGCTGACGCCGAGGCCCGCATCGCAGACCTCACCTCGCAGATCGAGGAGGCCACTGCGCTGAGCGCTCGCCTCGCCACGGAGATCAAGAACCTCGAGAAGGAGGTCGCCAAGAACCAGGAGGCCCTGGACAAGGCCACCGCCATCAGGCAGAAACAGCTGGCCGAGTTCAACGCCGAGGAGAAGGACCTGCTGGAGTCCATCTCCGCACTCAAGGCCGCGGTCACCGTGCTCTCCAAGCACCACGGCGGCTCGGCGGCCATGCTGCAGGCACCCAGGGCGCAGCTGGCGGGCGTGGTCAGCAAGCTGCGCGGCGCGCTGGACAAGCACCGGCAGCTGCTCATCGGCGCCTTCTCGCCCAGCGAGCGGAGGGCCATCGACGCCTTTCTGCAGTCCCCTGGGGACTACTTCGACTCGGCGCCTACGTTCAAGCAGTCCTACGCGCCTCAGTCTGGCGAGATCTTCGGGATCCTGAGGCAGATGCAGGATGTTCGAACCTACGATCAGTTGTTCGAGCCTAGGATGAACAACCGATCGTAGGTGCGAACCTGGATCTTCGGGATCCAGGTTCGAACCTACGATCGGTTGTTCCTGCAGTACAGCTTTTCTTCTGATCCTGAGGCAGATGAAGGAGACCTTCGAGGCGGACCTGTCCGACGCGCAGAAGCAGGAGATGGAGAACCAGAAGGCCTACGAGGAGCTCAAGGCGGCCAAGGAGGAGGAGATCGCCGCCGGCCAGGCTCAGTTGGACACGAAGTCGCAGGAGCTCGCCGCCACCGACGAGAAGCTGGCGCTCGCCAAGGAAGACATCGAGGATACCAAGAAGAACCTCGCCGCTGATCAGCAGTTCCTGATGATGCTCAAGGAGAAGTGCTCCATGACCGACAAGGAGTGGGAAGAGCGCCAGAAGACCCGTCACCTCGAGATGGAGGCGGTCTCCAAGGCACTCGCGATCCTGAGCAGCGACGACGCCCACGACACGTTCACCAAGACGTTCAACCCAGCCTCCCTGTTGCAGAAGGGCTCCGCCACAAATTCCGCCAACCGCAAGAAGGCGTCCGCGCTGCTGAGCGCGGTAGCGAAGAAGTTTGGCAGCTCCCGCCTTGCTGACATTGCCAATCGGGTGGGGCTGGACGCTTTCGAGAGGGTGAAGGAGGCCATCGACAAGCTGATCTCGGAGCTGGCACAGGAGAAGCAGGACGAGATCAAGCACAAAGACTTCTGCGTGGACGAGTTCAACCAGAACCAGCTCCAGACCGAGCGCAAGGAGCGGGAGAAGGCGGACGTCCTGGCGAAGATCGAGGACCTCAAGATGACGATCGAGGAGCTCGCGAAGATCATCGACTCGCTGAAGGCCGAGATTGTGGAGATGCAGGTCCAGCTCAAGAGGGCCGGCGAGGACCGCGAGAAGGAGAACAAGATGTTCCAGGCAGCATGGACCCCAAATAGATATCAATCTGGGCTTATGATGTTCCGGGAATCATAAACGGGGGGTCAAAATGTTCCCCTTGGAACAATGTAAACCTGGGTTTACAATGTTCCGGGCATATTCACTGGGAATCAGAATGTTCCCTTGGAACACTATGAACTTCGGTTTATAATGCTTTCGGGGGCCCAGCTCCAGAACTCCAAGACAATGAATTGGGTTTATTATGTTGGAATGGAACTAATGATTATATTTCCCCCCCACCCCTCCGTCACCAGGGTGAGAACTCTTATGTTCGAACATTGACCCTGGTTTATTATTCCCCGGACATTATAAACTTGGATTTACTACCCCGGAATAATAATCGTCGAGCCGGGGGGGGGTCGACCTGGTTTGCTATATCTTACCGGGGCATTATACATTGGGTTTTAATACTCCGGAATGATGATAATCGAGCGAGAGCCAGGGGGTGGTCGATTTGGTTTACTATGTTTCAGTTTCCCTCCCCCAGCCCAAGCGCCTCACAGGGAGAACATTAGCCACAGTTCTTATTCTAGAATAATGAACCTGGGTTTTCATTCTGGAAAAATAATAATGCAGCTGGGGTGTGTGTGACCGACAACTCCGCCATAATATGATTATTTGAGGTTCATCATCGAACGAGAACAAACTTAGGTTTATCTTTCTTAGAGAATGAACCACGGTCGACGAGGATTTCACGGGTGCCCTCGTTCCAGGACGTGGTGGCCGACCAGCGCGAGACCCAGAAGCTTCTGCAGGCCGCCCTGAAGGTGCTTTCGGACTTCTACGGCAAGTCGGAGGCCGCACTGGTGCAGAAGCAGGACTGGCGGTGCCCCAAAAGGGGGGTCGCGTGAAGGGAGTGGGCCTGCTGAGACGGCGGGGGGGCTTCTCAGAAGGCGGGGGCCTTCTTAGAAGGCCCCCGGGGGGCTTCTGCTTCTCAGAGGGCCCTTGCCTTCCACGAGGCCCCGCCGCTCTCTCGGAAGCCCTCCGCTCGTGGGCGTCGCCAGCAGGAGCCCGCGGGCCCGGCCCCGCCGCCGGGCTTCGGCGACTACAAGAAGAGCGCGGCCGGGGGCGGCGTCATGGGGCTGCTGCAGCAGATCATCAGCGACGCGAAGGCGCTCGGACGGAGAAAAAAAAAAAAAAACGTCATCTCCTCCTCATCTGGATCTTTCCACGGAGCGTCCAGTCATCATCTTCACCCCCTTATGTGCGTTCAAATGGTTTTTTTGTTGTTATCGTTAGCGCGACTCCAATAGACAGCGACTTAGGGGTTTTCTGGCCGCGCCGTCGTCGGTTCACTTTCGGCAAAGGGGACTAACGGGTCGGGCGGCCGCGCCGTCGTCAGAATTCCCAACCCCTCCTCTTCGCTGCAATATCCGCGCAGTTCCCCAGGTGGCGGTCGTCAGTTTTTTGTGACCCTCTCTTAGTGGTGAGGGAGGTGTTTCCGTCAGTTTTGCGAACCCCCCCCCTTCATTTTTTCCTGGTGAGTCCACGTCGTCGGTTCTGACGGTTCTTGGGTTTGATTTTAATGATTCCCCCGTGATGTTTTTTTCCCCCTTTTCGGTAAATCCTAAATTCCTTTGTTCGGGCTCTTGGATTACGTGGAGACGCCGCCGCCCCGCCCTCGTCGCCGCGGCGGGCTTCGCCAGGGTTGCCTGGTCAGAATGCGCCCCCCCGGAGAGGCCCAGGTCCTCGTGGGCCTCCCCCCCTCGGAGAGGCCATGGAGACGGAGACCGTGCGGGCCGAGGAGGACGCGCAGAAGGCGTACGAGGACTTCGTCAAGGAGACGAACGCCTCCATCGAGGCCAAGAGCCAGGACATCGTGGACAAGTCCGAGGCCAAGGCCAAGGCCGAGGGCGACCTCGTGGAGGCAGAGGAGGCCAAGGAGGGCGTGCTGCTCGAGCTCGAGCAGCTCGGCAACTACAAAGCCCAGCTGCACCAGAGCTGCGACTTCATCATCAAGAACTTCGACATCCGCCAGTCCGCCCGCGACGAGGAGATCGAGGCTCTCAGGCAGGCCAAGGCCATCCTGTCCGGCGCAAAGTTCGAAGAGCTCCTGCAGGTTGCCTGAGCGGCCTTTAGCCCTTGCGCCGTCGGTATGGTAGTATGGCATGCCAGGATACGGTGCACGTCGATCCAGCCGATCCGGTTCGCTGTCGATTTTGGCAGGCTGCATCCGATTCGATTCCGATGTTCCGGCTATCCGATGCGGCCCCATGCCTGCACGACGCTGTTGTCTATATGGCGCGGCCGATTCGATCTCGACTTCGTGCCGATGCAGCCCGATCCGACGCACATTCCGATTCGATCCGTTTTCCCGACGCAGTGCTGACCGCTCCTGGGAGTCAGAGGCCAAGAGGTTGGCACCAACACCAGTATGGCCAGTTGCCTCCGCTGAGGGAGGCTGACCCTGATCTTGGTGAAGGTGGTACTATTCGGGCTTCCCCGGCGGCCGAGAGATTACCGCCAGCACCGAAATCCTGGGCCATCCTCCCCCAGTTGAGACGATCCCCTCTGTCAGTTGGTGCTGGTGCCAATCTCCAGACTCCCAAAGGCCAAAGGAGGCCTCCGCAGGAGGTGCTCTGGAACGGCCGCAGCGCCCGATACAGCCTCCAGAACTACGGGATCTCAGAGATCCTCATCTTCTTCGGTATGAGACCTCCAGGATGGAGGTTAAGTTTAGTTTTTATCCTGCCATCCTCAACTCGCTTCTGGTGCACCCCACCGCTTGCTGACCGGCGTCTGACTGTCTTGGAACCTTTGACCCCCGCGGACTTAAGACAAGTTGATTGTTTCAGCTGTTTTTTGTCCGACAGTTCCTCTTTACGCTTATGTCGGGCCTGTCCCCCTACAGGGGGATTTTCAACGAAAAAAATACACCCAACATAATCCAAAAATACCCAAAAGATAATCGGAGGATTATTTTTTGAGTATTTGTTTAAACCTTTTGGAGTATTTTTGGAGTATTTTTATTATTTCGTCGAAGATCCCCCTGTAGGGGGACACGCCCGACATAACTCTACGCAGCGCGTTGCTCCTCCTCCTGGGCCCCTCTGGGCCCTCTGCCCCCGCTTGAGGCGGGCCGCCGCGACCGGCTGCCGGCGCCCCGCGCCCGCTCTGCCTCGCGCTCCCTCCGCCGCCTGTGCGCCCTCTCGGCTCCGCCTGCGGCCCCTCGCGCCGAGGCCCCCGGAGCGCCCGCCTCGCCCTGGCTCCTCGGGAGCCCCGATGACGGGGGTCAGGGCTAAAACGACGCGAAGATCGGGACAAAATCGGATCGGGATAATTCGAAATCTCTGAGAATCGGCGGGTTTGGAGGGTGTCTTGGGCGCCGCGGCCGCTCCAGAGCGTTCCGGAACGCTCTGAGAGCGCTCCGGAACGCTCTGGAGCGATTTATCCCGATCCTAGCCCTGTTTTAAGGGCAGGCGGGGGTCGGCCAGGGCGCCAGATCTCACCACCCACCAAGCCACCCCCACCCAGCCCGAAGGCTCAGAGTTGCCCTCGATTTCCAGTGGGGGGGGGGGGTCGGGAGACATCGAAGAGACAACCCTTACCCCCCCCAACCCGAAATTCGGGTCTTCGGGTTGGGTTGGGGTGGTCGGGCACGTGGCCAAGATCTTGCAGGGTCCTGCAGGGCCAGGGCCGCATGGGCCCGGGCTAGCGCGCAGGATCCTGCAGGATCCCGCAGGATCTCGCAGGCTCCTGCAGGGCCCGACTGGCCCACGACAAGAGTAGGGCGGACCTCGACATCAAAGGAGCCTGAAAGCCAGGCGGAAATTTCCACCCTACCTACGAAAGCGCCCACATTCGGACGGCTACGGAGTCGGGGGGTGGCCCGTTCCCCGCGGTGGGCGTCTGCAGCAGATGTGTGATGGCTTCGCGCTCTCTGCCGCTGGCCGCCCCCCCCATCTCAGAGGATGGCGAGTTGAGACAGCGGTATTGTCCTCGCGACACGTGAAAGCGAAACTCAGAAGACGAAGGCACGGTCGCAAGGGACAAGGTCAGGCGACGGCGGGAAGGAGTAAGCGAAGCACAGAAAACAACAGTTCATTGTCAGGAAAGCGAAAGCGAAAAGCTCCCCCGAAAAAGGTAATAGTTAAGAAAGCGAAATCGAAAGCGAACCGCTCGGAAAAAGTTGATAGTTTCGCTTTCACGTGTCGCGGGGACGGTAGTTGGCTTGGGGGGGGGGGGCCCTCGCCGCCACGGCGGGACGCAGCTCGGAGCAGCTTGAGCACGGGAGCGCGGCACGCAGCAGCAATTGGAGCGCGGACGCGCCGCAGACAGCATTCTGAGCACGGACGCGCCGCAGACAGCATTTTGAGCACGGACGCGCTGCAAACGGCAATTGGAGCACGGACGCGCTGCAAACGGCAATTGGAGCACGGAAGCGCGGCAAACAGCAATCGGAGCACGGAAGCGCGGCAAACGGCAATTGGAGCACGGAAGCGCAGCAAACAGCAATCTGAACACGGAAGCGCTGCAAACAGCAGTTTGAGCACGAGAGCGCTGCAAACGGACCCTGGGAGGGGTCTGGGGACCGATTCTGAGCTGTCGTTGTCTCGACTCGCCCTTCGTCCGAATCTCGGACAGGGCTCTTCGCACTCTGCCGCCGCCCCCCCGCAGCGATGGCCATACGCAGCAGACGCAATCCGTAGTCCTGAGATTCAGGCGTAAGTGGGGCCTGTCCCTCTACGGGGGGAATATTCAAAAATAGTTAAACAAATAGTCTGGGGATGATTATTTGTTGAGTATTTTGGGGGGCATCTTTTGAGCATGTTTTAAAGCATTCTTTATTTTTCGTCGAAAATCTCCCTGTAGGGGGACAGGCCCGACTTAACCGTAGTCCTGAGATCCAGGCGTTGCCCTTTCTTTTCATACCAGGCGTGTTCGCCTGGTTTGGGGACCCAGGAACATCACAGGTCGATCCGGCTCGCAGGAGATTGCGCAGAAAAATGGGGTCCAGGCCAGTCTAGGGCTTCGGTTGTGATCTTTCGCAACGTCGCATGTGTTTCGCAACGTCGGATCCCAGGGAATATCGAGAGGGCTTCGCACTTTGCTGCCGGCCCCCCCCCCGTCTGATTGCGAGCGTGGCTGGGTCGATTGGATTAGTTGGTCAATTGGCTGGTTCGTTGGCAGGCTGGCCACTCGGCTGGTTGGCAGACTGGCTGTCTGGACGGACGGTTGGCAGGTTAGTTTGTCAGTTGGCTGACGGGCTGGTTCGCAGGCGTGCTGGCTGGTTGGAAGGTTGGCTGGCTGGGTGACTGGAGAATTTGAGGAGCGGACCTATTGTTTTTTACGAGGGATCGTGGTTTCGGGGGCACTGATCGGCCGTTTTTCCAAGGGATCTTGGCCTTGGGAGCGCGGGTCCAGGCTGTGCTGCTGAGAATGGGAGCGCGGGTCCTCAGTTTTTTAGCTTGCATCGTTGCTTCGAGTGCGCGGATCCACACATTTGTTGTTCGAGATCTTAGCCTCGGGAGCGCGGATCTAGAGTTCTTGGCGGGGGATCATGGCCCCGAGATCGCGGATCCATGCACCACTGTTTTTTTTACCGTCAGGACCACCCTTCGGATACCAATCTCACTCACAATATTTCGGCCGATCTCACATTTTGTCGGTATCACAGTTTGTAAATCGATCGCACTGTCAATACCACGCCCTTACAGAAGTTCGTCACAATTCTATGGGGGCGTCAAGATGATGCACGTTTCGTCCGTTGCTTCCGCGCGAGCGGGCGGACGAAGGCTGACCCCCTGTTCCGACCGCGCCAAGCTGCCCCCCTTTCCACCTAGAGTCTCAGCGGGTTGGGCCAAGAGCGGTCGGATCAGAGATCCGGGATTCCCTCCAGTTATAGAAAAGTTTTTGTTTTAATCGGGATATTTTCAGACCCCGATTCTTTTATTCCAAAAGGTGGTTCTAGAAATGCCACCGGGCGTGATCATGCCCTGCCGACGCGAGATGATGAAGGTCCACTTCATGACGAAATGGTTGAAACGCCGATGCTTTTTTTTTATGTCGGTCTCAATGTTATCGGTCTCGTTAACTATCGATTGACACTACCATCCATTATCACTGGTGCCCTCGATCTCGCTATCTATCTATCGATATAATTTTTTATCACCTATAGGCGGGGCTACCACGGGCATCCACAGGAGAACCATGGAACAACGACGGCACAACCAAAGGACAACCAGGACAATCACAGAGGAAGCACGGAACAAACACAGGACAGCCACGGGACAGCCACGGGACAACCATGCGGAATTGGTGTATCTATCCATCTCCCTATCTCTCGATTTCATTATTGATGGATGTATCTATCGAAAATGATTATCTACCGGTCTCTTTCTCAATCTACCGATCTCACTCTCGATCTATCGGTCGATCGCGCTGTCTATCGGCTCACGACCTGCTTATTGATCTTACAATCTATATGCCGATCGGTCTCGCTATATAGTTGTCGGTTTCTCTCTCTATCTCTCTCGTTCTCTCCCTCTTTCTCTCTATCTTTCTTTCTCTCTCTCTCTCTCTGTATATATATAGATACACCTTACATTAAATCTATTCCCCAAGCAGTGCTTGCACTTAGGGGTTCTTATTCCTGTTCTAAGGAGCTGTGCCTGATTGTCGGTCTGGCGGCTACGTTGCCGCCGTCGCCGCCCCGTTGCCGCCTCGTCGCCGGCCGTCGTCTGGGCCTGCTTGCCACTCTGGCGGCTATGTTGTCGCCGTCGCCGCCACTCCGACGCCCGTCGTCTGGGCCTCGGTGGTGGTCTGGCGGCTGCGATGTCGCCGTCGCCGCCCCGTCGCCGCTTAGATTGCACAGAGTCGACTGGACCACCTAGATCTTTCTGGTACCCCCTGGGATCGCACATGATCGCACATCTTACTATCTTCCTGGTGGTAGGTGGAGGTTGTGTAGGTTTTAGTGTAGGTGGAGGTTGTTAGTGTTTGCTGTTATGCGTGAAAAAAATCTTCCTGGTCCATCGATCATGTTAAAAGTGAGCTCATAGCATCCCAGCCAAACCCCTCTTTCGACCCCCCCGCATCCTCGTCAAATAACCCTATGCGCGCACACTC